AATGGACCGAAATTTTGGCAGCATGATTGGAAATGCCCAAGAAATTGGGGTCGGGGCGCAGACCCGTGATCACGAAGTTTTAGCCAAATTCCTTCATTTAGGCCTTCGATTAATTAACCGGTTGAAGATGTGTTGGACAGAAAATTAACAAAGAAAAATCGCACTAGGGGCAATTTCGTCATTTATCGCGACGGTGTCGGACTGGGCCGAAATTTAGCAGGTTGATTGGAAACGGTCGCAGAAATTGGAGTTCGGGCACAGACTTTGGATCACAGGATTTATTCAAATTCCATCATTTAGGCCTCCGAATAATTAATTTTCGTATTAATTATATCAGGCTGAAGATGTGTTGGACAGAAAATTAACGCGAAGCCGCACCAGGGGCAATTTCGTCATTTCTCGCATCGGTGTCGAAATGGCCTGAAATTTGGCGGGTTGAATGGAAACAGCCCCAAAAATTGGAGTCGGAGCACAGACTCGGGATCACAGGATTTTAGCCAAATTCCTTCGTTTAGGCCTCCAAATAATTAATTTTCGTATTAATTATGTCAGGTTGAAGAAGTGTTGGACAGAAAATTAACAAAGAAAAACCGCACTAGGGTAATTTCATCATTTGTAGCGACGGTGTCGAAATGGGCCGAAATTTGACAGGTTATTGGAAATAGCCCCAGAAATTGGACTCGAGGCACAGTCCCGGGATCACGGGATTTTAGCTAAATTCCTTCGTTTAGACCTCCGAATAATTAATTTCCGTATTATTTATGTAAGGTTGAAGAAGTGTTGGATAGAAAATTAACAAAGAAAAACCGCACTAGGGGCAATTTCGTCATTTGTCGCGACGGTGTCGGAATGAGCCGAAATTTGGCAGGTTGATTGGAAACGGCCCAAGAAATTTGGGTTGGTGCACAGACCCAGGACCACGAAGTTTTAGCCAAATTCCTTCGTTTAGGCCTCTAAATAATCAATTTTCATATTAGTTATGTCAGGTTTAAGAGGTGTTGGACAGAAAATTAACAATGAAAATCCGCACCAGGGGCAATTTAGTCATTTGTTCTGACGTTGTCAGAATACGCCGAAATTTGGCAGGTTGATTGGAAACGGCCCGAGAAATTGGACTCGGGGGCACAGACTCGAGATCACTGGATTTTTGCCAAATTACTTCGTTTAGGCCTCCGAATAATTGATTTCCGTATTAATTATGTCAGGTTGAAGAAGTATTGGAGATTTTAGCCAAATTCCTTCATTTAGGCCTCCGAATAATTAATTTCTGCAATAATTATGTCAGGTTGAAGAAGTGTTGGACAGAAAATTAACAAAGACAAACCGCTCCAGAGGAAATTTCATCGTTTATCGCGACGGTGTCGGATTGGTCCGAAATTTTGCTGGTTGATTGGAAACGGCCCGAGAAATTGGACTCGGGGCACAGACCCAGGATCACGGGATTTTAGCCAAATTCCGAGGTTTAGGCCTCCGAATAATTAATTTTCGTATTAATTATGTCAGGTTGAAGATGTGTTGGACAGAAAATTTAAAAAGAAAAACTACACCAGGGGCAATTTCTTCATTTGTCACGGCGGTGTCGGAATGGGCCGAAATTTTGCTAGTTGATTGGAAACGGCCCGAGAAATTGGACTCGGGGCACAGACCCAGGATCACGGGATTTTAGCCAAATTCCTTCGTTTAGGCCTCCGAATAATTAATTTCCATTTTAATTATGTCAGGTTGAAGATGTGTTGGACAGAAAATTAACAACGCAAAGCCGCACCAGGGGCAATTTTGTCATTTGTCACGATGGTGTCGGAATGGTCCGAAATTTGCTAGGTTGATTGGAAACGGGCCGAGAAATTGGACTCGGGGCACATACTCGGGATCACGGAATTTTAGCAAAATTCCTTCGTTTAGGCCTCTGAATAATTAATTTCCATATTAATTATGTCTAGCTAAAGAAGTGTTGGACAGAAAATTAACAAAGAAAGGGGAAATTTCGTCATTTGTCGCGACGGTGTCATAATGGGTCAAAATTTTGCAGGTTGACTTGAAACAGCCCCAGAAATTGGAGTCAAGGTACAGACTCGGGATCACGGGATTTTAGCCAAATTTCTTCGTTTAGGCCTCCGAATAATTAATTTTCGTATTAATTATGTTAGGTTGAAGAAGCGTTGGGCAGAAAATTAAAAAAGAAAAATCGCACCAGGGGAAATTTCGTCATTTGTCGCGACGGTGTCATAATGGGCCGAAATTTGGCAGGTTGATTGGAAACGGCCCCTGAAATTGGAGTCGGGGCACAAACCCGGGATCACGCGATTTTAGCCAAATTCCTTCGTTTAGGCCTCCAAATAATTAATTTTCGTATTAATTATGTCCGGTTGAAGATGTGTTGGACTGAAAATTAACAAGGAAAAACTGCACTAGGGGCAATTTCGTCATTTGTCGCGACGGTGTCCGAATGGGATGAAATTTGGAAGGTCGATTGGAAACGGCCCCAGAAAGTGGACTCGGGGAACAGACTCGGGATCATGGGATTTTAGCCAAATTTCTTCATTTAGGCCTCTGAATAATTACTTTCCGTATTAATTATGTCAGGTTGAAGATGTGTTGGACAGAAAATTAACAAGGCAAAACCGCACCAGAGGTAATTTCGTCATTTGTTGCGACGGTGTCAGAATGGGCCGAAATTTGGCAGGTTGATTGGAAATGGCCCCATAAATTGGAATCGGGGTACAGACCCGGGATCACGGGATTTTAGTCAAATTCCTTCATTTAGGCCTCCGAATAATTAATTTCCGTATTAATTATGTCAGGTTGA